TGGTGGATCCCTAATCCACGTCTCACTACTGAGATCTTGACATTAGAGACGCTGACGCATCCAGCGGGAAACAGCAGCCCCAGAGCACACACAATGTAAGAAGTGTTTGGTGTGCTAATAGTTTGTTCTTCCATCAGTTTGCTTTAGGGATCATTGTTTTCAGACAGCGATACATGAAAAAAAAGCAAATATCTGTAAACTCTGCAACGACAGCCTACAAAACTGGGCGCTCAACGCGGACTCGAGAACTCGGAATGAACCCCGACCTCTGAGCACTGGGCTGGTGGTGCTACAGAGAACTCCCGCCAGCCCCCGTCACGCCGGTCACTAGCTGTCCGACTGCAAATGAAAGGCTAAGACATCAGAAATTGTAGGGGAGAGAAGCAGCGACTGAGAGAGTTTGAAAGAGACAGCTCTGTGCACATGAACATTTATTACATTTTAGTGATGGTACCCAAGACAAGCAAACCCTGCAGCTTGGTGAAGGACTGTGGGTCAACATTCAGTCCTTTATGGATATTCTTGAGGCCAAAGGCCCGGTGCGTTACACATCTGTTCCAGTGCGTAGGTGGCATGGTGTTTCGGTGTCTCTTTACCACCCGGGCGAGTGGCTTTAGTGGCTTTTTATTGTGCCGAGACTAACCGTGCTCCCCCTGGATTGATCGTTTGTCTGCCTGCTCAGCCAGATCTTGCGAAAGAAGAATGCATCTTGAACCAGACTGGAATGGCTCCCGAAATATGCCAAATATGCCGCTGAGCCCCCCCCTTACCTTCCTTTCCTGAAGTAGGCCTGCTTCTTAGCCTTCTATTCTACCCCCCCCACCACCACAGCATTCCTGCGCTGTACACGGCACCAAACGAACATATACTCACAATCACAGATGACCCACTCACACAGAAAATGTTATGGACATTAATACCACAAGTTTCCACTCAGCTGACCCAGACATGCCTTTTACGGGTAAGCGCTTCAGATTTCTCTTTTCATTAACTTCCAAAAATACTCCTGCAGCGGGCAGGAGAAGGGGGAGTGACAGGATCTCTTTAGCGAGGCACATAAGTGAAAGAGAGAGTGAGCGAGACATGATAACAATCGGCTGGAAAGAGGGGGAATATTGGCCCTTGGAGGAGGAGAACACCTAAATCTGTAGAGGAATTTACAAGAAATGTCTCAACTTGAGCTCTCCCCTGTTCCCTTCTGCCCTCCCTCCCTCCCTCTGCCTCAAACATGCTTTTGAACTCTCTCCCCTTTGCGATTCTTTCCTCTTTCTTCAAGGATCGACGAGGTAGCCATTTTTGAGGAGCCTCCACAACGCAGGAACAAAACATGCGTACAGGGAAGCTTCTGTAAAACAACTTATTGGGGGCTTGAAATGTCCAACGGAAACCTAAATCCAACACATGACCCAGCTGGAAGTCTGTGTGTGTCAGGTCACACTGAAAGCATGTGAAAGACAAACACAGCAGCAGCAGCAGCAGCAGAGTGACCCACATTATTAGTCATTGTGGGTTAAACTGCAGCCAGGTGGGAAAGCTGGCCGGGCCTCCTATTAAAACATGGGAGGACTCCTCACCTGCAGCTATCCGGGTGCATCCAACAGCCACAGGGACATTCGAAGAACGACAGAGGACGCCACGCTTCAAATGGCAGAACATTTTAGAAATCTATTGTGATGAGGTCATCGATATTTATGCCTGTGATACATTACATGACATGTAATGATACGGTTTGCATCCACGCTATGTTATGTTGCTGTCAGCGGTGGACGGCAGGGTGGAATTGAAAATAGGGCACACCGGAGCCCTTAAGAGTAAAGGTCAAAGTCTAAAAAGGTCACCTGTTAACAGCTTTTCCCCATAAATTTAAGATCAAGTCGAAGCAGTGGCGAAAAGATGGCCAAAAAAAAACCTAAACGTTCATAAATAACAAAATGAGATTCGGCTAAACGAACTCTATGGACTCTAGATACGCCGCTCCGTCAATTCAACGTCCCATAATTTAAAGCTAGGAGGTAAATTTAGCAACTGAAAGCTCATATTAACGCGGCCATGCTATCTTCCTGACTGTGGCGACATACGGAGGATTCATAAACGTAATCATGAAAGGGAAATTCCAGCTCTCCGCTGAGCCGTGAGGATTTCTTCTTAATGACAAACGAAAGGCACTGGCTGTCTTACAAAACATCTTAGATGACTGGTTATTAAAGAATACCAGGAAATAGAAAATGTGTCAACCAGCAGTACGGAGGGAGCAAAGATTTTCCCGCGAGTCATTATTGTCAGCTTCTCTCTGGAAGAGCGTGGCTACAAACAATTAATGGCCGTACGATTTTGGCTCAGGTCAAAATGTTTGTGTCAGGCGCACAAAGTTGATCATTCAACAGCAGCCCAAATTGCCCCCGTAAACCTATTTCATAACCACACGGTAACTCAATAACCGATCAGTTAATACCCGAGAGGTCAGTTTGGCTGACCTTTTTAAAAAAAAACAGAGAGGTCTTGGTCATGAAGTAGTGCAAAGTGGTTGACGTTTAGATTTCAGGTTTGTGCCTGTTAGCTCACGGTCATTATCGCTTACATAGAGCAGAGCCATCTTCATCAGCAACACCTAGCGTTTTCCTGCTGTGACGAGTCAAAATGTCTGCTGTGGGGAAAACACACCAAACATCCACAAAAGACATGACGCCGCGTGCATTGTGCGTCCCTCACTGCAGCAGATCTACGCGACGACTGTTCACAGTCACCTGCGTGAGGCCCCGCGGTGACGCCACCACGGGGCAGAAAGCCCCCCCCCGCCGCGGCAGCTGGTAATGAGGAGGCCGCTTGGCACGCTTCGGGCCGACTAACGAGCGGGGATTTACTCACACACGCAGAAGGAATCGCATGAACAGGGTCCGCTCTCGCTCACGTATCCGTTGCGCTGCGCGTCACTGTGTGTGTTAACGAGAGCCTGAGCGAGGCGTGTGAACACTTTGAGCGGAGGTGTACTCCCGGCTGCTGCCCGCCGAGTGATTGACGCTCCCGGCCTCTAGTGTCCGATGACAGACGGACGCGGCCGGGCACAGCGAAAGAAGGGCTTTGGCACGCCGATGTACATGAACTCACACACAATGAACAGGCACGCAAAGTTCAATTAGTTTGAACCCCAGCTGAAATCACACAGCCCTGCCCACTCACAGATAAAGACAACTGGCAGGGAGGGAGGCGGGAAGGAAAAGAGGGAAAAGGAGGATTGGAGAAAGAGCAGGAAATGAATGTATACAGTAGAGAGGCGAAAAAGAAGGAGGTGATGGGGGGGGGGGGACGTTTGAGGTCCGAAGAAAAACCAATGCAAGAGTCTGATTGGTGCAAACCACAGACACAAACAGTGCTACAATTATTATTAAACTATCTCATAAACTGTTTGGCAGTTTGGCCTAATGTGTGATTGTTACAGTATTGCAGTTTCCAGAAACAGAAATGGGAGTTCTCAATGGTTAAGAAACATATTTATGTAAAACAAAAGCAAGAATTCCTTTCGTCTGGCATGCTGAAAGCAGAAAATGTTGGGGGGGGGGTTTGCTTGATTATTGCCGATATGTTGCAAAAATTTGGGAGAAACTGGGGACGGAGTTTTTGACCTCTCCGATCTCTCTGCCTCCAATACAGATACAGTCTTATTGATGCGTCTTCGTGGCACTATGCCATCTTCCAGCAAGTTTGCTAATCGACACACAGCAACTGCAGCTGGCCTGCGTATTGTCAACAGCAGCCTCTGTCCCGGATACAGAGTCCATTATTGCATTATGACAAAATACACACGCACACTATACACACACACAGGCTGTGTGTGGGCTTTAACGCAAGCCTCAGAGAGACCAGGAGTCATCGGCGCTATTTCAAGGACGCCCTCGAATTGTGATGCCTGCAATATTACTCTGTGTCCTGTGTGTGTGCATCCTCCGCAGCTCTATTCCTGGGCGAGAGGGGTTTCGGAGGCTAAAAGAAGGCGTCTGCCACAAGTAAGCCACACCATCCGGTCCGCCTGTATCCATTGCAGCACACTGGGATGTACATAGGGCTGCTCGTAGCCCTTTACGTCGCTTTGTATCCCGGGTGATTCTGAAGGCAATGTTTCAATGTTGGCAAACGGTCCCCTTTGTGTCCTTTTCTTAATGACAATACATTTCTCCGTATGCCTTTCCAGCCAGCCAAGCAAAATCAGCATATCAATTTTTATTTGTATGCACTTGCAACAAATAACGTCACTGTCCATGTACTTTATTTGCACACCAATGGGACAGAACTGCATTAACAGGAGAGCTCTGTGCATGAAGCTTGATGTGCAGAGTGGCAGTAATACCACCATTGACAGGCCGGGTTTGACAATCCCAGCGGTTTGATTCTCTCAGGCAGAAAACCTCAATATTTTAATTTAATCCCCAGCGCAGTCTTTTAGCCACTGTGTAATCCCCAGGTCCTGGTGCTTAGTCTGATAATTACCCTTATTACACACCCATAATGATTAGTTTTTGGTTTCACCCAAAGCAGTGCAGGCAGTTTCATGGGGCGGTCGCAGCGTTCTGCGGAGTGGAAAACCAATCATGCATGGTATGGCCCAGGTCATAAATGGAGAGCAGGGGGGGTGATTATTACTTTGCATGGCCGGCGAAAACTCCTGGACATGGACATGGTGCAAACACTGTGTTTGTGTAACTTTCCTTTTGAAAAATCTCCCTTCGAGATCCCAAAACAGGGGGTGGTGGCCACTCTCGCCGTGTCAGCGCTGACAGCCATCATACCGGAGGAATAATGTGTAGTTACTTGTAAGTAGTCCTCCCGAGCACCAATGCATCCACACCAAACTTGGCGCATAAATTCCCAAGACGGTGCATGCATGGAACATGCACTGATTGGGGGGGGACAAAATACATCTCACTCTTAACCTTGCTGGCCCTCTCATCTGTTTCCCCCTTTGTATTTCTCCCCATGTTTCCAATCTGACAGTTTAAAGTGCATACTCTCTCTCCACGGGCGGAGTCTCCTCCAACGCACCGTAGGAAAGCCTCTCGGCACATCCACCGCCATGGCAAGCTGCGGATTGCAGGAGGAAATGGGGGGGTCGCTGCAGATCAGGCTGGTCGCTCAGCTGCCTGGGAGGGAGAGACTTACGGGAAAGTCATCATGTGGTAATTTTTTGCTTTGTTTTTGTTGTGTCTTTCAGGTCTGAAACAGGTCAAGGCAGGTCCCCTCCGTGTCCTTCCCTCCCCGTGCTGCACTTTACGAGCCCCACCTGGCACATTGGTATTCCAGTACAACTACCTTCTCTGCTGTTGACACGCACACACGTTGTGGCGGGGCGGCACAGGGCACATACTGTTCAGATTTCATGCTCTGCCACCTTCGTTTCATACATGTACACCCACATGTGTAGGCTCAACACATTCCATCTCATCTGAAGGAAAACACACACACGTCTTACAGCTTCTGCTGTTGCAGTGTGAACTTCTATCGAGCTAGCCATTCAATAATGAAATAAGGTTGTATGTTAGATATGTAGATCGCTGGTTATGGGAGTCACCAAATCCACAACATGTCAACAGTCACATAAACAGAAACACAACGCGTCCTCACATTAGAGAAGCTACATTACAAATACATTTAAAATCCATCAAATATTGTCACAGCTCATTTGTTACCAAAGCACCTTAATTAACAGTGAACACATGTAACAGAGGGCGGCACGGTGGCGTGGTGGTTAGCACTGTCGCCTCACAGCAAGAAGGTCCTGGGTTCGATTCCGCCCAGTGGCCTTTCTGTGTGGAGTCTGCATGTTCTCCCCGTGTCTGCGTGGGTTCTCTCCGGGTTCTCCGGCTTCCTCCCACAGTCCAAAGACATGCTCTGGGGATCAGGTTAATTGGGGACTTTAAATTGCCCGTAGGTGTGTGAATGTGAGTGCGAATGGTTGTATGTCTCTGTGTAGCCCTGCGATTGGCTGGCGACCAATCCAGGGTGTACCCTGTCTATCGCCCGAAGTTGGCTGGGATGGACTCCAGCCCCCCCGCGACCCTGTGTGCAGGATAAGCGGTTTGACAATGGATGGATGGATGGACATGTAACAGACAAAACACCGTAATGATGTGCAACTTTTCTTCCAATTAAAACCCATATAATATTCTGTCGTGTCCTTGACCTTCTCTATTCCTCGGTGTACTGTCCTTATGGGGATTATTGGAGATATCAAGAGCCCAACGTGTGACTAAGCGAACAATAAAACACACACACTGCGGTACATAGTGCGTCATATCTACCACATCCCTGCCTTTTGTAGACAGAGTGTAAACTTTAGTGGAGGAGATACATCAGTTAGTGTGTGAACACTGTGTCGCGCTTCTCTACGTCCTGAAGGGAAGAAAAACAAAAAGGTACAAAGTCTACACAATGTGCTGGCTCATGCTGCAGATAAAGAATGCCAACCGCGAAGCTAAAACATGTTGACTTCATTCATAAAAAATAAAAGGCTTGAGCTGCATTAACGCTACATTTTGCGTGTTTGCGAACCACGGTTTGTTTCGCAGAATACGGGAAACATTTCAAATCAACACCGCGACATGTCAACAAAAGTAGCACCCAAACGCCGTGTGCACCGCTACATTTTAACCACCCGAGGTTTCCACCGCAGTCCCGGTTGCTTCCCTATGGCTGCCGAAGCAGCAGAGGAAGGGGAAGAGGAGGAAGAGGAGGAGGAGGGTTGAAAAACTTGCCGCAGTCCGGACTAACTAGAGCCAACTCAGGAAGCCCCCCTGTTCCAAACCCGATGAATGTCCCCCTCCCTCCCCAAAAACACACACAGACTGAGAAATAAAGACGCCAACTTCACCTTTAGCTGTTCCACCCCCGCTGGGACGGAAAAAAACCTGCGGTAAAATCCACAACTTCACACGGCTGGAGCTCGAGCGGACGGCGGGACTCGCTGCTGCTGCTGCCGACGCGGCGAGGACGAGTTCGTCCACATATCCCAGAATGAGAGAGCGCTATAGGGGGGAATTGCGTCTTTATATGTCCCCACCCCCCTCCCGTCCACCTTAATCACTTTCTTCGGCCCTTTCCTCTCGGATATCCCCCCCTCCTCTCTGTGCCGTTTTCAGATGAAACCATCACATTCCACCGCGTCCTTAACAATGAGAAAAGGTGGGTTTTCCTTCGCTGCCGGCGGAGGCCCCGCCCCTCGGGATGACTCGTCCCGGTCCGACCGCAGAGGGAACGCCCTTCCCGGCGGCGAGGCCCCGCCCCCTTTCCCACACAGCGCAGGCAACCGGAGGGGAAAGAATCTCAAGTGAGGTTGGGAGGGTAATCTGCAGTCGGGAGTATTTTTTTTAAAATATATTCTCTGCATACGCAAAGTGTTCAGGCTTTATACTAAAATGAAGAAGTAGCGATGCAGGGGTGAAGGACAGAAAGCATCAGTAAGTTCCTATAACCTCAAGGAGTAATACTTTTGGAATTGTTGCAGGCGTCTTCAACTAAGCAAAACGGTTAAATACACTGATAATATTACTAAGAATCACATTTCCCGTGGCAGCAAAATTTATATCCACACTGAATTTTTGCTATTTTTGGGGTGTTGTGTGCACCATAATGTCCATTAATAACCAGGAACTGCAAACATATGCGCAGAAAAGTGCAAATGTCACAATTAAAGTTATGCAACATTTATGGTGTAAGGTCCAGAAATGCAAGTGCCATTGCTGTCTTAAGGTTTCAGTTTGTGATTTAAGTTTTAATTCTCCATATTTCCATTACAAAGCAGCTTCTTATGTTTGTAACAAAGAGCCAACATGCATGTCTTAGATGTGGACTACATGTTATCCTAAAGGCAGTTATTTCTCTGATGCGAAACTTAAAGACCGATTCCAGTGCGAACTTCTTCACTGCCATTGTACCTGGCAATAAAATACTGCCTGGTTTCCACTATTGTCATTGAGTGCGCTATCTGTAGTGATTCAGAGTGATAACTGAAACAGAAGCCTATTGTTTACTGTATCGCAGCACTATTATGATGCGGTGGTCAATTCTTCACTGGTTTCTGTTGAAATGATTTGTGTGTAAGTTGTGAACCAGTTGAAGTCCTGTCACACAGACACAAACACATGCAATTTCTGAAATTGTATTTCTTAAAAAACAGCTTTATTGAGCAGCTGAGGAGGACTTAAAGTCTGCCGTCATGTGAGGGCTCCGTTGTATTATCAAAAACAAAATCAGTACTGCTGGATTAATATTTAATGTAATGAGACAGCACCTTGTTGCTCACAATGAAAGGAGCAGGCTGGAGAATACAGTTATTAAAGATCACAATCAAGCATTCCGTGTCGGTGACCTTGTCTTGTGCGACTTAAAGGGTTGTGTAATTAAAGCAGTCCTTTGTGATTCCCACACTCAAGACTTTGTTTTCCTTCTCATTAAACATCCTACTCTTGTAGAAGACTGCAGCGCTCTAATCTTACTACTTCACAGGAGGGGATAGATGAGGTGCACGTAATGTTACTGTGTTTGCTCTCTCCAGGTAGGAAAATTGACAAAGAAAAATGAAATCCCTTCAGAAGCTTCTCGACACTAAAGGCATAACCAGACATGTCCAAACACCCGAGCGCCACAGCAGGAAAGTCAAGTGCAAGTGTGTGTGTGTACATATGCATGCTCATTTCTGTTTAACCTCTATGTCTGTCTGTGCATTTATTATGTTAATGTGTCCTCAAAGGAGAGATAAACTGAGGATCAGCAGAATGTATGAGTTTATCCCTCGGTTTCCAGAGCCACTGCTAAAATAACTCTTGTCAAAGAAAAAGCAAGGCACAAGAAAAATACATCAGGGCAATAGAAGGGACGTCTAAGCAAAGAAAGGGACGGAAAATGCCTTTTTCTTTCATCAGTGTGTGTATCACACATGTGTCATCTGTTTAAAGAGAGTTGGCTCATGCACAGGCAAGTTTCTGTCATTCTGGGAATTTGCCTTAATACATCAAATTACATAAATGCAAATGCATAACAGAGACTGAAATCAAAGGCGTAAGGACGGGGTCTGCCGCACACACTAGCAAAGAAGTATTCAGGAAGTGCAGCGGTCAAAGGCAACATCCTTCCTAACAGCAAACATCCTTCATCCCCCACATGAACTTGTTTATTCATATTAAAAAAAAACTGCACAAATCATAATGAAATGGATGCATTGGTCGTCATGTCAAGATTTATTTTGTTTTTTAAATGTTTAGTATTTTATTTTATCCAGAGCGGCTTGCACTGGCTGCAACACCAGAGTAATCTCTATTAATCCTGCATAGATCACTGAAATTATAAGCAGCCAATTGTACAGAGTGCAAGGATCAGGTCAATGGTCACCTGACAGAATTCTTTTGATGTTAAAATGAGCACGCTAAAAAACACAAAAAAAAAACGACCAGTCGTAAGATATAATACCACATTTAAAGCTTTTCTACTTTGTGTCCGCTTTACAGAGAGGATAAGGATTATTTTGCTTAATGCACTGGCCTCTGAGAGTGGGTTAAGGCCAGTGTTTAAACAGATGTCACCCTGATGGATCAAAAATGTCGGGCAGCTTGTCATGGGCAGAAACATGCACTAATCTAAAACCATCAAGCATTGCGTTCTGTGCAAATATCAGGTTGGAAGGGAACCTCTTTATTCTACATCACTTCCACAAAACTGTCATATGAACCTAAAACGCTCATGACAGCCTTTTCCACTTTAAACACTAATGGAGGGAATTCTGAGCCCACGCTGAGTTAAGATATTGAGGTTTTCAAATCTCAATCATATAATAGAAATACATACAATATAGAATGTCCCATGAGAGAAAGAGGGAGAGACCCAAAACAAAACAATCTGGTTTGGCTGTCAGGTTCTATATTATCTCCAAGTACAGATGTCTCAGCCTGTCTAGCTCACCCTCCCATGGCCCTCTCCTTCTCACTGCAGGGGGACATTCCTCAAACCTCAGCCTCTGGCATGCAGTAAATCTGCCCGTGAGAGACCTGCGCTGTCCACTCAGCCACGAACCCTCCGCCAATCAAGAGGTGCCTCCTGAACACGCATTTTTTGATCCTCATCCTCTATCTGTTCTCACGCGTCGCATGAGCATACGGATGCCAGTGAATGATCCCCACCAGCGTTTGACATCTGCCCGAGGCAAAGTGCCATGGGATCAAGGTGAGGTGAAGCAGCAACTGTGAAAAGGTGTTAATGGGAAAAGAGGAGCTCCACAGGCGGCTCACTGCCGCCCTCTATTCCTGCCTCCCAGAGGAATGCATGACTGTGACTTCTGACGGTATTCCTCTCCCGGGCGATAGCCAGCTATTTCACTTAAAAGAATAAAAAGACGTAAAGAAATATGATATGATGAGTATCTGCACACCTGGACTGAAAGTACAAGTGTTCTTTGGGAGGAACGATTTGTTGGAGTGAGCCACGGAGGGGTGCAGAACATCCGGGATCACCGACATGAATCTGAATCTGATTATTTCACATTTCTTTCTGGGCCATTCAGAGGCCAAATAGAGGAGAATGTTTGAAAAGGATACCCTTAAAAGGATAACCTTTGTTGGTGTGGGTTTATATATATATATATCATGTTTCACACATTGGTTTCTCTACAATTTATCATTTCCAGTCAGAATAACAAATACATCTTTATGACCTGTATACGTTGTAAATTAGATTTCAATTAAATGTATTTGATGACGGACAAATTGTGGTTTGGATTTTAATTGCTTTACGGTGTATGCAATATAATTCAGCTCAGTTACACAACTCTGTCCTCGCATCTTCCATCACCAGGTCAAATCTCACATGTTGCTGTGGAATCTTTTGAATCGGCACCCAAACCGCAAACAGCAAAATGCACCGTGAAAGTGTGTACCTTCTTTACAGTGTGAGCCAGTATACAAAGCAATGGCCCAGCAGCTCCAGCAGTCATGCAGGGCAAGACCACCAAAAAGCACTGCACTCTTCTTCCACTGCCAAGCCATAATACCAGCAATAAGGTTGGGGAGTATCTTGCACCGAGAGAGAGAGAGAGGTATTTCAGCAGCATGGAGCTCCACCTGGACTAAAAATCAATCCCAGCAATGTTCACTGATGGACAGTTGAGTCCTTTGCTCGTTTTCTTTGCCTCGTCCTCCCTCGTGTGGTAAGAATGCATTACTGCACATACAACTACCAACTGTTATTTTTAATATGGGATCAGATAAGTATTATCTATAGATGTATTATATATTTGTAGGTACCTATCTCAATACACAGTGCATTCCTGGACAAAAATCATTTTACAGTTTGATAACATCACGGTGACAATACAGCTGGTGCCGAGGTGGCCTTTAACAAGTTAAAAAGCCTCACAGAACATATCTGCACGCCTCTGATGGACTACGTAGCCAACGATGAGAGTATTCTAACGACAACACAATAAGTATCAAACTGATCTGATCTGATCTAATATGGGACATATGATGAAAGTGAAACGGTAGTTCTTCTTATAAAATGCCAACTATATTTTGGAAATACTTCATGTGCTCCTTTATGTGGTAAGGAGTTATTTTGTAGTCCCTGGAAGGTTCATTTCAAAGCAAAGCAGCATTCTATCGTCAGTATGTTGCTTAGAACTTTATGACAATGGCAATTAAGGTCAGCTATAATGCTCGCTTCAAAGTAGATGTGTTTTTTTGCCTGGAGGGAAAAGCAGGTATGTCAGAACATGTGGGGACTGGCACTATCATTTCGAAACAATCTCACCCTTCTAGAACGTTGACTTGAGCCAAACAGAAAGAGGCAAGCATAGGCCCAGCTCGGTGTTTTACAGCTGCTGAGACGTTTTACTTCCTGAAAAATATCAGAGGAGAAGAAGCAGTATGGTAAGTCTTCCCTTTAATAATACAAATACGAAAGAAACAGGCAGTAACTTACCTCTCTATACTAAGGTTTATTTATATGATGTAATAAAAACAGCTCTCGGTATAACGTCATTCAGCACCACCATAAACTGCAGCTTAAAAAATGTTGTATCATGAGTCAAACAATTTTAACCAAAATATGTCAACCTTCATTGGTTGGATTTATATTCTTAGCTGGGTGTACGTCTTTTGACTGAAAAAAAAAGCCCAGAATGCTTTAGGATGTTACTGTTTTCTCTCCCACAGACAGAAATGATGGTCTCAACTACGGAGCAGGTGGCCCTAAATGTGACCCCTCGCCTGGACTCTTCAGTCTTCTTGGACTCAGAGTTCCGTTATGTCGCCTTCCCAGTTGTCTATAGCATCATCTTCATCCTGGGGATCACCGCTAACCTCTACGTGTTGTTCGTTCTGCGACGCCTCCGAGAATCCAAAAGCATGGGGGAAATCTGCATCTACATGATCAACTTGACCATCGGCGATCTCCTTTTTGTGACTTTCCTTCCCTTCTGGATTGACTATTTTAGACGGGATGGTAACTGGATCTTCCAAGACGTCATGTGCCGGCTGTCTGGCTCATTGTTCTTCATCAACACCTACAGCTCCGTCCTTTTCCTCTGCGCCATCAGCGTCAGCCGCTACTGGGCAGTGACGCGGCCTCTGGACGTGGCCACCTCAGACCACAGAACTCGTGGGATCATCTTGTCCGTTTTCATCTGGCTTTTCACCCTTGCGACAGCTATTCTATTCCTGATACAACCAGGGACCCATACTGATGATAACAATGTCACCCGCTGTTTTGAGGGCTACCAGAACACCCCTGTATCAACCAAGGTTCATGTTTTTGCCTTTCACTTGACAATAGTTATAGGGTTTTTTCTTGTCTTTTTTGTGGTCGTGGTGTGTAATTTCCTTATTGCCCGAACGTTGCTTTCCAAAGGTCCTCCTCGGGCAGAAATGCAGTCTGCAACGGTCACATCAAGAAAGTCTCAACGGACGGTGTCCTTCTCATCTAGAAAGCGCAGGGGAGTGAAGCAGAGAGCTTTGCAGATGTTGTTTTCAGTGGTTGGAGTGTTTGTCGTGTGTTTCCTGCCTCATCACGCTTGCCAATGCTTCTGGACGCTGGCGGTGTTGCATATAGAAGAGGGCTTTGGCCACGTAGACTGGAGCCAGAAGACCCGCCAGGCGCTCAACGACGCACATCAGATCACTTGGCTTCTAATGAGCCTGAACTGCATTTTGGATCCTGTGGTTTATTTTTTCGCCACTCAGAAGTTCAAAGGGTTCATCATGGCACACATTAAAAAAATAGCGAGGGGGGGAAGTTGCTCAACGACGCTCACCTCTGAGGGCTCCATGCACAGCCAGCGACACCAAAGTGAGCACTAGCAGCAGGAAATGAATTGATACAGATTGGTGTAGATATGGTGTAGATATGTAGATGTGTAGATATTTGTTTGCACGTTGCCTCTGATTCTTGCACCAACTATAGGCAGTTCCTGTATTAATGTACTTCAGTGTCATCCTCAAGAATCTGACAGTTTATTTCCACACACAGTATATGAATTGCATCAGTCCCCCTGCCTTGCATGTGTGAGGAGGAAGAAGATGTTTTAGATGTACAAAAAGAAAAGGAAATTCATCATGGAAGATTTTGCTTTACAAACCCTTTTTTGTTTGTTTAGTAGGATGCGAAGTACAGATCTTAATCTTTTTGGGTGTCAAAAGTGCAACGTCCCACTGCAGATTACACAAACACTTAAATTCAGTAGGCGACATTCAGACATCTGTAGAATATGTGGGATTCTTATCCCTCATCAAATGAGACAGTTTTTATTGCTTTTCATTGACGGGTTATTTCTTGTATTGCGAAACCATGGAACAGAAGCAATGACGCTTAAGCTACGTTTCCCCTCTGGCATCCAGTATTATGTATATTATGTCAAAGAGTAAAAACTGAGTCAGAATAACAAGACTTTTTGCTCTCTGCCGTTCTACTCTATCATACGCTATTCTTACTGCCAGTTTACCTGCTGTTGCAAAAGTGAGTTATGAGGCATTTTGTATTTATTTTGCTTTTACTTTGTATGATCCTCAAATTTGTTTGTAATATAATTTTAAACATTTTTACACCACAGACAATTTTTGTGATTTGAATTTTATTCTATTCATATGATACAATTAAAATAAAAAGACTGTCTTACACATCAACAAACCGAGAGACATCTACGTATCTCAAGAGAATGCACCATGAGACGCACAGAACTGTAGCAAATTACAGGTTTTATCAAAATCACATGAATGAAGAAAAGGAATGTCCCATTGCTGTTTTGTTGGAATAGTTGAATATATTTCACATTCATGTTGTGTCAAATCAGGCTACTAAATAAAAACATAAACCTCGTGATTCAGGCTTGATGGGAATGCTGAGCTTTCTCTGCAGACATTCACCAGCTGAACCAAATGCTCACGCGTCGCATGAGCATACCGTGAAAGTGTGTACCTTCTTTACAGTGTGAGCCAGTATACAAAGCAATGGCCCAGCAGCTCCAGCAGTCATGCAGGGCAAGACCACCAAAAAGCACTGCACTCTTCTTCCACTGCCAAGCCATAATACCAGCAATAAGGTTGGGGAGGCTCGGTAACCTTAATCTATAGTAATTACGCTGGGGCTCCGGATGTGTTGTGTTGTGTGTTTGTACATAAGAGCCTGAATTAAACATTTACCACAGAGGAGGCTGCACCGAGAGAGAGAGAGAGAGAGAGAGAGAGATTTTTTAAAAAACACTTTATTTACACATTTGTATCTTTTTTATCACGTGCCACTTTTTGTTGTTTTTTCCCTTCTAAGAAAAAACAAATCCAACATTAAAAAAATAAAAAAAAGTAAAACTATGTAATCACCTGCTAAAAACTTGTGCAAATACCAGTTCGCCATCGACCACCGAACAAACAATGTCATTAAAACACCAGCGCTGTTTAAAAGCGTCCAAGTCCCCAATGTGCTTATAAAACCTAATCTCCAGCCAGAGCCTTGCTCTAATGTTGCACAGCCATATTACTTTTGCCTCCTGCCCCTCTCGCTTCTCCACTCTGTTCTTTCTGCTTAAATAAATTGCCATTTTTGCCTCTCCGCAAAGAAAGTTAAGGAGCTGCCATTTTTCTATTTCCGTTTTCTTGTAGGCAGCTCCCATAATAAAATTGTTGATCTGGGCGTGTCGTGGCTAGCAGGGGGCCGGTGAGGACTCAGATAGATCTCTGGAAACGGGTCCGCAGGGTCCGGTATCATCCTCTTCTGGCTGTATTCCATGAGGAGGCTCTTTTCTTTCCCCGTCAGCCTTTGGCTCCACAGCTCCAGGAGCCTCCCCGCCACCCGGACCGAATGCAGCCCAAGCAGTGAGCCCAGGGCCGGGGCATCGCTCAGCGTCGGCCCCACTGCGTCCACCAGCTGCTGCAGGCAAAACGTCTTTGTTTTCCGCAGCGCCCCCGTCAGGCCAGGGGTGACGCTGCTGCTGACGTCCAGCTTGGCCCTGAAAATCAATGGTTCTCTCAACAACCAGTACAAAGAGTTAGACAATGGACACCTTTTTTGAATAAAAAGGGCCCAAGACTTAAAAACGCCCTGATAAAACGGAGGCAGCCCTTTTATATTTAAAATATTGGGATCCATTAAAAACAGAGCAGTATCCAGCCCCAGGTTGTCTGAGGATACAACTGGCCACATCTCGCCACACTAAACCCTCCGGACATGTGAGGTATCTTTTCAAAAACTGTAACCTAAAAGTGGCCGTCCGGCTGGCCAAGTGGACAAGGCCCTGTCCCCCCTCCTCTCTGGGTAAAAACAGCACCCCTTGTGGCACCCAGTGTAGACCCTCCCAAAAGAAATCTACCATCTTTCGCTGTATGTGGGCTAGAAACCCAGAGGGAGGGTCTAGGCAGGTTAAGCGGTGCCACAAATGAGATGCAATGAGATTGTTTAAAACCAACACTCTACCTTTAAAAGACATCTGAGGGAGCAGCCATTTCCATTTTGCAAGTTTTCCCTCTATCTTCTCTGTGACGCCCTCCCAGTTCTCTTGGACCATGTCCCTTTGTCCCAGATAGATCCCCAGGTATTTAAAACCGTCTTTCCTCCAAACTAACCTTTGGGGAAGAACCGGGAGGCCGTCACGCCATTCACCGACAGCAAGGGCTTCGCTTTTTCTCCAGTTCACCCTCGCTGCCGATGCCTTGCTAAAATCCTCCACCACGCTGTTTAAAAGGTCTGCATCCCTCTGGTCCTTAATAAAAACAACAACATCATCTGCATAAGCTGATAAAATCATGTTCGTACTAAAACCAGGCCCTCCAGGCTAGAGTGTATTCTGCTGAGAAGGGGTTCCAGGGAGAGTGCATAGAGCATTCCAGACAGAGCACAACCCTGCCGGACCCCTCTACGCACCCTAAAAGGAGCGCACAGACTGCCGTTTATCTTCAGCACACTCTCAACCTCGCTGTACAACACTTTGATCTTAGCTATGAAACCAGCGCTGAACACAAACCTCCCCATGACCTTCCAGAGGAAGCTGAGCTCAACGCGGTCAAAAGCCTTTTCCTGGTCTAGGGAAATCAGACCAGTATTAATACCTAACGAGCTGGCGACCTCCAAAACATCACGAATGAGGTAGACATTGTCTACCATGGACCTGCCAGGCACACAGTAGGTCTGGTCCCGATGGATGACCTGCTCCATAGCTTCCCTCAGCCTGGAGGCAAAGACCCTGGACAGAAGCTTGTAATCCACGCACAGTAGAGACACAGGGCGCCAGTTGCCGATGTCATGTAGGTTCCCCTTCTTCGGCAGTAGCGTTATGACCGCTCTGCGGCAGGACATCGGCATGGAACCAGAGGCCAGACTCTCATTAAAAACCTCCAGGACATCAGGTGCGAATATATCCCAGAATGTCTTAAAAGATTCTGCGGGGAGGCTGTCGATGCCAGCAGCACGCCGTCCCTGCATGCCCTGCAAGGTGGCCTTCAGCTCCTGCACCGTTATGGGTCGGTCAAGCGCTTTGTTGGTCTCCTCAGAGACTTGAGGTAGTCCGCTCACGAACTCCTCCGTCAGTGCTTCCTCCTCCCTGTACTCACGGGTGTAGAGGGAAGAGTAAAAGCTGACCGCTCGCCTCCTAATCTGGCATGGTTCCACCACCGGCAACCCTGTGTCTGCCAACAGCGCATGGATCCCCCTCTCCTGCCCACTCTTCCTCTCCAGGCCAAAGAAAAAACTAGAGGGAGTGTCCATCTCCGTGACGGTCTGGAATCGGGACCTGACCAGTGGACCCTGAACTTTAACGTCTAACAGGTCGGCTAGAGCCATTTTTTTGATCTTGAGGACTTCAAAATGGTCTAGTTCCACTATATCAGTCTCCAGGTCCTTCATAGATCCGGTGATGTCTCTGGTCACGTTGAAAGTGTGCTGCTGACAAAGAAGCCTAATCTCGATCTTACCGCGGTCCCACCACTGCCTAAAACTACTAAAATCACTCTTCCTCAGCCTAAAAACACTCCAAAAATATGAAAGGACCGCTCTAAAATTCCTATCAAATGTTACACCGGAGTTAAAATGCCAGTACGCGCTTTTTGGCAAAATGTCCCTAATAAAAACATTACACACTAGCAGGGAATGATCTGAAAAAAAAGCCGGTACAATGGTACACATTTTAAAAATATTAAAATGGTGCTTAAAAACATAAAACCGATCAAGCCTGGCTGAGGAGATTCTACCTTCTCTGAGGTGGGACCACGTGTGCTGTCGGCAGTCTGCATGCATCCTTCTCCACACATCCACCCGGCCATGAGACCGGACCAGCTGCCTTAGAGCGTGCTGGGAAGCTGGATGTGGCTCTGCGTGGTTGCGGTCTATGGTCGCATCTTCTGTGCAGTTAAAATCCCCCCCCAAGAATAAAAAATCCTCCGGGGCACAGCCATCTAAAAGATCATTAACTTTTGTTAAAAAAAGCTTCCTCTCTGTACCGATTGTTGGAGCATACACATTGATAAAAACAAGAGTAAAAAGGTCGAACCGCACCTTGACTAAAAACAACCTCCCCTCGATGATGTGTTTGACCTCCAGGGAGACTGGATTAAAAGACCTGGAGAAGAGGAAGCCCACTCCTCCACTGAGGTTGGTGTTGTGGCTCAGCAGGACTTCCCCTTTCCACTCCCTCCTCCAGTCGGCCTCGTTGGTGCTGTCGCTGTGCGTCTCTTGCACGAAGAGAACATCAAGACGTTTCATTTTTTTAAATTCATAAATAGATGCCCTCTTCTTGACATCTCTGGCTCCGTTCACATTCAGGCTTCCCACTTTTAAAGTATCCATGATAAAAATTAAAAATAAAACACAAATAAATACCAATAAATCAATTAAAACACACATTTGGGCTTTTTTTGTGATCATCGTTGATGGCTCGTTTTGCTTTTAGCACAAGTTTTTTCAGTCTAAAACCCTCTTGATCTGTGAAGCCAGACTCCTCTCGCTGGCTCATGCGGAGTCTGGCTGAGTTATAAAAACACACCAGGTCTGGGAAAAACACAGCCCTCACTCTCACTGCCGTCAGATTGCCCCTGACCCCCACCGGCCTCCTCTTCCTCGTAATCATCTATCTTAACATGGAAGCGGAGGTTGAGCTCCACATTCCGGTTGTTAAGCATCATATAGAGGTGCCTGCGGTGAGACACTACATGCTTCAGTAACTGAGACCTGCATCCAGACAAGATCTTTTCGATCGGTGAAACCACCTTTCCGTGTCTGGAGAGTTCTCTGCTGAGAAATTTGCCGATGATGAACGGAGGGACGTTCGATAGAACCACCTTCGTGGCCGGTTGCGTCAGTGGCAACACCTGTACAAATATTTCATTCACCGTGAGGCCCGCCTCGACGACTCGGTTCACCTTCCCCACCTGGTCTAGAAAAATGACTACGGCCCCGTTCATCCGAGCGGCCGATTTCACGCTGCTGTGCCCGACTACTTCCCCCACAACCAACCCGATGTCCTCCACGCTGCACGAGAAGCCAGCGCCGATCTTAATGCCGTGCTTCCTCGTGAGCTGGGAGAACGTGTCTCCATTTACCATGGCGTCTAGAGACGCCGACCGGCGAGACACCGGCAGGAGAAAAGAAACCCAAAGAAAAAAACAACAACGACTAACCCCACAACTAAAGTGAAAAACAACCACTAAACCACATTGAATTAATATATATAACTAAGGAAAAAAAAAACAAAGAGAGAAAACCGCTCAAAGACGCTCACACACACTCACTCCCAGCATGCACCGAGAGAGAGAGAGAGAGAGAGAGAGAGAGAGAGAGAGAGAGAGAGAGAGAGAGAGAGAGAGAGAGAGAGAGAGAGAGAGAGAGAGGTATTTCAGCAGCATGGAGCTCCACCTGGACTAAAAATCAATCCCAGCAATGTTCACTGATGGACAGTTGAGTCCTTTGCTCGTTTTCTTTGCCTCTTCCTCCCTCGTGTGGTAAGAATGCATTACTGCACATACAACTACCAACTGTTATTTTTAATATGGGATCAGATAAGTATTATCTATAGATGTATTATATATTTGTAGGTACCTATCTCAATACACAGTGCATTCCTGGACAAAAATCATTTTACAGTTTGATAACATCACGGTGACAATACAGCTGGTGCCGAGGTGGCCTTTAACAAGTTAAAAAGCCTCACAGAACATATCTGCACGCCTCTGATGGACTACGTAGCCAACGATGAGAGTATTCTAACGACAACACAATAGGTATCAAACGGTAGTTCTTCTTATAAAATGCCAACTATATTTTGGAAATACTTCATGTGCTCCTTTATGTGGTAAGGAGTTATTTTGTAGTCCCTGGAAGGTTCATTTCAAAGCAAAGCAGCATTCTATCGTCAGTATGTTGCTTAGAACTTTATGACAATGGCAATTAAGGTCAGCTATAATGCTCGCTTCAAAGTAGATGCGTTTTTTTGCCTGGAGGGAAAAGCAGGTACGTCAGAACATGTGGGGACTGGCCTAATCATTTCGAAACAATCTCACCCTTCTAGAACGTTGACTTGAGCCCAACAGAAAGAGGCAAGCATACGCCCAGCTCGGTGTTTTACAGCTGCTGAGACGGTTTACCTCCTGAAAGATATCAGAGGAGAAGAAGCAGTATGGTAAGTCTTCCCTTTAATAATACAAATACAAAAGAAAACAGGCAATGCTGAGGTTTATTTATATGATGTGATAAAAACAGCTCTCGGTATAACGTCATTTCAGCACCACCATAAACTGCAGCTTACGAAAAGGTGTATCATGATTCAAACAATTTTAACCCAAATATTTCAACCTTCCATTGCTGGATTAAATTTCTAGCTGGGTGTACGTCTTTTGACTGGAGAAGAAAAAGCCCGAAAGCTTTAGGAGGTACCGTATTCCCCTCCACGACAAGAATTAGCGTCTCACGACGAGCGCGTGGCTTAAATCACCCCCCGCCTGGACCTCTGAGGCTAGGAACCGAGTTCC